AGAGACAAGAAGTAGACAAGCAGGTGGTTCAGAAAATTAAGAGTTTTATCAATGTGTCAGGAAGTACTTAATCGCAAAATAAGGCGAAGGGAAACCAGGTGCTTGTTACCAACTAGGATCAAGGAACTTTAGAACTTTATTGATAAAACTGAGGAAAATACACATGACAAGTATGGTCTATTTATAGACCTCAACAAGAGTACAGCCATAAAGGGATCACACAGGTTCTTAGGGAGTGTGTGTCCATACGGCGGTCAACATGAGTCCTTAGGGAGTTGAGTGTCCTTTATGGCGGTTCGCATGAGTCCTTAGGGTGTTGTGTAACCGCAAGGTAATTAATCCAAGGTCCTCATGGCTGTGATCCTCACACGTTGTTTCATTGCATCATGTTGAGTTTGGGTCCGTATTCAGCAACAAATAAACCGGTTACACCATTATCCATCAAAGCTGTGAGCTTGTCCATAATATTTCAGCTCCTGACAAGTTGGCTGAATTCCATACCGCAAATTTGTTGAAACCCAAGTATCCGTCTTGACTCCAAAGACGTTGTTGTTTGAGGGTGGAATAATGTGACCATCACTGACATCACTGCCATCACTGCCATGCTGACTTGAGTTAACTAGCTTGCGGATACACTAGTCCCTGACCCTGACATTGACATTGACATTGACTCGTGTGTTTGTGTTCATTACATATCATGGCTGTACTGTACTGTTGTTGTCATGTATATATATACCATACTTGTTGTTATATGGTTTCATATATGCCTGTATTATTGGTGTCAATAATGTTAGTTGTTACCGACTACTATCACTAACCCCTAACCCTGACATATCATATCATGACATATCATGACATGTTTTACAATCATGTAGTTGTTGACATTGTGTTTCCGTCCATGTCATGTCATGTCATGTCATGTTGTTTGTATTAATTGTCATCACTGTTCATACCATGCCATATCATGTCATACTATTTCACACATATTATTGTGTTACTGTGTGTTACTGTGTGTTCATGACTGCATTGGTGTTGCATGTTGCATGTTATCTAGTCATGGCATGTCATGGCATGTCATGACATATTTTCCAATCATCAACCCACCTCCCGTGATTGTACTGTTTGACGTCAATAAATATACCATACTTGTCATACTTGTTATATGTCAGTGTTATTGTTGTCAATATTGTTAGTTGTTACCGACTACTAACAACCATATGGTTTTGTCACTATTCACTGCAATCATG